TATGCTTTTGTGTTTGTCTAATAATGTATTGACCAGAAAGTATACTTTCATTCTGTAGTAACAAATTCTAAAGTAATGTGTTATATATTTGAGTAATTAATTAATTAATTCGAAGAATTGTGGATTGTTTCTAATTGAAGCTTTATTTATCAAGGATGATGCAGTGGGGTTGAATTACACAGACACTGAAAAGAGTCCGGATTTCAATCCCCATCTACCTTTGAGGAAAAAACAACATAAACACAAATTCAAAGAAAACAAAAATCTCAAGTAGCATTAACACTGGTTCGTGTCTATTTCGTCATGGGTTGGTTGAGTTTAAAGACTATAATCGCATTATGGGGTAAGTAAATTCTAAATAAACTAGAGCCCTTTTTCCTATTATAATTATAAGTCTTAAAATAAAATAATACTATCTTCGATCAACTAAATTTTATATTAAAAACTTGAGATGGTAACTAATAAGGTCATAGGTTTAAATTAAGTATCTTGTTAGTATGTAATACTACCTCCGGTCCTTAATATGATATTTTATTTGAATTTTATTTTGATTCTAAATATAAGATCCCAATCCGTTTTGTCTCTCATATATTTTTTTTTCTAAAATAGTCTTTCTAACGATGGTAGTTTTAGCCAATACACTTGATTGGTAAGGATATTTTAGGAAAGACAATACATATTTATTATAAATAACTAACTTAACTTCTTTTCTTAATCTTCTCAAATTAGTCAATTAACTTTTATAACTAGAACAGGAGGTATGTTAGTATCAAAAGTATGCTCTGGTTATGGCAGCCTATTTTCAACTCCCTCTAATTTTTTCAATAAAAAAAAAAAATCAAACCAAAGCAAATTAACTGGTGCCACTTTAACTTTGTAGATTAATTATCGCTATCTTGCCAATTGCTTATTTTAAAAATTATCTCACGCTTTCACAGGTTGTTTAAATTATTAGCGGGAAACTGCTGGTCAAAAATCATTATTGGTGGAAAACTATAACATACTGAACAAACAAGACAACAATATTCCGTCACACCAATAACGTACAAATGGTCAAAGAACAGAACTATATAGTCTCAAAAGGAATTATTGATCAAGGTCAAAAAAACAAAAAGGAATTATTGATGGAGATGAAAAATACCACCACATCTAAAAAGATGTTTAAATAAAACCAACTCATAATTTAGAGAATAGCTTCTTAAAAAAAAAGTTATTTTGATAATAGATTTTGAAAAAATAGTTTTTGTGAAAAAAGTAATTTTAATAAAGTAAGAGCGTTTAAATTATTGTTATCAAAAACACTTTTTTCATGTACAGATTACTAAACATAAGTTAATATGATAATTACATAAAAGATATATTTTAATTTATATTTTGTCTAAAATAATAAATTTGCAAATAATATATTTTTTGCCAACATAATAAATCATATATAAAAAATATAATTAACTAAATTTAGTATGTGTATATATTTATAAAATATAAAATTAAATATGTTTTTAGAAAAATGATTATCTTACCTTAAAGGTTTTAATATGAAATCCCATAATACTTTTTAAAAAATTAAATAAACATACGTAAGAGCAATTTATTAGTTGTATAATTAATGGATAATTAGTGTTTATATAATATAAAATTAAATATATTTAAAAAAATTGGTAATTTCATATCAAAATTATAAACCCTGAGTATCATAAATACTTTCATCGAACCTTCCCCCCTTTTTCTTCATGGGCGTTAGAATATTGTTGTTATAGAGAAGGAAAACAATAACATCATGCGTATTGACCACATTTTCTCTCTCTACTTTGCCCTAACAGCAATTGAAAAGCAAAAAATTTTCACTTCTTCTGAAATCTTAGTTTCTCAAGCTGAAACCTTGGTTTTCAAGTCAAACTATGGTTTGAGGCTTAAAAGTGTTTTTTTTTTTTAAGTGTGCCAAAAACCCTCTAAATTTACATGTTTTATTGATGAAAGACTCAATTGCAAACACAAAAATTGAAGCAAAAAAAAACATCAAATATATATATATATATATATATATTATATACTACAATAATCAATGATCAATAATGACTATGTGTGAGTACTAATCAATGGAATCAATATTATCGATTCACAAGCTAATTCCAAAAAGCTAGTCACTACAGTAAATCCTAATGTAGTTTTGAGTAGTAATAAGACTATCCACCCCTAAGCCAAGCTACACCTTTTTGAACTTTATAAACAAAAGGCAAAACTGTAGCTTTAATTTTTAGATTTTAGTTTGATGCCTTAATTTTATAAAATATCTTTTAGTCTTCTAACCCAAATATAAAGTATTTTTTTAATCTTCTAACCCAAATATTGTTAACATTAAATAATGATCTTTTGTGCCGATTATTGTTATCTTAAAAATTTAAACTTGATATGTCAATATTTGAAAATGTTTTATCAACATTTAAAATTTTAATGATAGTAATTTTATTTTGGTTAATGAAACTGAAGATGTTAGGATTAGATGACTGAAAAATACTTTATAAAATGTATAAATAAAAATAAAATTTTATACAGAGAATTATAAGCTTTTTTTTTTTAACTAAAGAACTTGATTTTTTTTGGGGGGGAGGAGTTGAAGTTCAATATCATAGAATTTAGTTTTTGACTTATAAGCTACTAGGTCCATGATTAGGTGCCTGTTTGGCATCACTTATTTTGAGCTTATAAGTAGCTTATAAGCTTTATAAGCTCGATTGACATAATGGGTCTGTTTGGATCAGCTTTTCTGCAATCGGGTTTTTGTCTGAAAAGCTACAGTAAGCTATAAGCTAAAATTAACAGCTTATGACTTATAGCTTATGGCTTATAGCTTTTGAAATATGGAGAGAGAAAAAGTTAAGAAATTTATTACCTCTTTTGGTTCTTATTATAAGCCTCAAATAACTAATTTGTAGATAATAAAAAATTAGTTAAAATTAGTTGAAAGCAATGAATAAGTTAGAAATATATTTTTATTTTTAAATATGCTCCTAAAAATATACTTTTATTTTTTCATGTTTCACTTTATATTTAAAATAGTTTTTATGACTTCTTCATATTAAATTATTTTAATTTCATTGTATTATGTGAAATTATTTTTTTAATCATGTTTCATTATTTATTAAAACTCATATCTATTTTGGTCATTTTACAACCAAAGTTACTTTTACTCAATCGCAATCCAAACAATCTTTTACCAATCTCACTTTTGTAATCTAGCTTTTCTGAACTCTAATCCAAACACAATTCAGCTTATCCAATTTAGCTTTTATCCAATTTTACTTCTCTATAAACTACTTTTTCAATAAGCTACTTTTCCAATCGCTGATCCAAACGGACCCTAGATTATTTGAATGAAGGCATCTTTTGAATAACTCACTGAATTTTTTTCATTAGATGTGAATAAAAATCATATTTGTTTTGAGAAAATAATAAAGTCATTTGATATAATAATATCTCCCTCATTCTAGCTTTTATTTATCTTTTAGTATTTGCATTATCTCAATAAAATTGGATATCTAGGTTACTATAGAATTTTCTTAAGATTTTCTTTATTATCTTCGTTATTTTTATACTCTTCCGATCCTTAATATAGAACCTAATTCTTGAGTTAGTTTTGGTCTTAAATATAAGACCTATTTCTTATATTTATCAATTTTCTCTAAATTACCCCTATAGATACTCCCTCAACCATAATCAAGTAGAAGAGGGAGATTAGGTATTAAGAAAGATGATTATGGTGTTTTAGGAAAAATACGTCACTTTTCTTATAATTAACTAATTTACCTAACTTCTTTAATTTAATCAAATTAGTTAAATGGGTCTTATATTAAGAATCGAATGAGTATTTTGAAATTATGATTTATTGTTATTTTAATATTTTAGGGCCCTATCAATAGCTCCTCGGCTTTCCCCCTCTCGTTTTCTATCTCTTTCCTTCCTTTTTCTTATCTTTCTTTTTTTACCTTCCTATTTCACATTCATTGGCATTTCCCTGGTACTTAAGATAATATCTAATTAATTAATTTGAATAAATTAAGAATATTAGTTAAATTAGTTAATATGGTATATATTTTTTAAAAGACCTTAAGCATCTTTCTTAATTCTCTTCCTCACTATCCTAATTGATTATTATTACAGGAATATCAACATGATTAATCTGAGAAAAAATTGATAAATATATAAAATAAATCTTACATATAATATTAATATTAATTTTCTAATTAGATTATACATTAAAGACCGGAGGAGTATTAGAGCTGGGTTTTTCCATTACATCATCTGCTATGGTGCCATTCAATTTCTAAGATATGACACCCCTTCTAACCTCCACATTGAAGCCTGGATTATTTTCAATCACAATTTGAACTATTCATGTTGGGTTGCTTCGAATAATTTCCTGACACCAAAATCCGACAAATTTTATTAGGGAAAACACTTGAGCATAAATATACGAATACAAAATCCGTCACTTGGCAATGATTTCAGGCGTATCATAATTATTACAATAATAAATTTAATTAAAAATCAGGTGAAACTATTAAAACTAAAACCTCATTAATTAATTTTCATTACATTAAATCAATTCATATTTTTTTGGAAAAATCCAACTAAATTCTAGGAGTAAAGTCTGAAGAAAGTCAGAATGGGTAACAAATGAATACAAAAATAATGTTTCGTAATGCCGAGGGAGCATATTCCATACTCATCACAAGAATAAGCTTGAAGTACTCATCTTACTTTGGACTCTTTAGATTGATTTGAATGGTCCAGATTAAATTTAAACTTTTTATATATTTTAATTAAGTTTTAATTTAAATGGACACAGAATTTAAAATAAATATAATGTTATAACTAACATTTCTTTAAATTTATCATTTAAAAATTATATATTAAAAATCTTAAATTCGAACCATTCAACCATATCAAATTTTGAGTAGTTCAAATTGTATTATAGTCGCTGTGAGTAACGAACAACAAAGACCTGGTAAAGTATATGTATATTGCAGAAGAACATAGCCACACAATCCTAAAAACATCATTAATGGAGTGAAACAACGACATCAATGTCTCCATTTTTATTTTGGAAAAAATCAATCACTACACAAAAAAATAATAATCTACAACAATAATCAATAACTACGTATATGAAACCTATCCTACCCAGTAATGGGCTACCCTCCCACAAGCATCCGACCATGCCTCGTATAGGATGCCTTAATACATATGAATGCATACAATGATCAATGGAATGAATCAAATAATATTCATTCATAACCTAATCCCACGAAACTTGCAGCTGCTATTCTGAATCCTAATACCATTTTGAGCCGTGAGACTATCCACCACTAACCTACACCTCACTCTGAACTTAACCTTAAACAGCTTCAACTTCCCAAGCTTCACTCTCACAGGTTGCTTCACCTTCAAGTTCAGAGGAATATTTCCTGTCTCTTGTTGCTGCTGCTGCAACCTGTTGAACAACCCAGAAGCATCCTCCGTCTGCCCCGTCATGATGACAGTGAGCGCCGTCGTATTCCGATGTCCCTGGTAGAACTTCGGAAACGATCCTCGTGCCAGGTTGGTTTCCTCGTACCATGCCTCGATGTTGCTGCCTCCTTCGTAGTATATTCCGATCCTCTTGTTCGGGTTCGTGGCGGTGATTCGAGCGTCGAACGTGGCGGAGAGGCTGTTGCTGCCGGAGAGGTTGAACTGGACGACTTGTAACTGGTCAACGGAGAATTTCGGCATCTTTGGTCTGAAGATGAGGTAGATGACTCCGACGGTGATTCCGACAGCGATTATGAGGATTAAGAGGAGAGAAAAGGTCCAACATAAAAGCCTGCAGAGGCAGCTTCTTTTTCTCTTTGGTGGCTTTGAGTGGCTCACCGGGAAGGTTCGTCTGGGAATCGGTTGCGACGGAGAGCGGTGGTGGTCGCCGTTGGGGTTGTCGGACTTGGAGGTGTTTCTGGGGAATAAAGGGTGGGTAGGTGAAGGTGATCGTGGTGCCTCAACGTCGGCGAGTGGGTGGATTCGCTTCTGCTGGTTGTTATGATCTGCCATGGCGGAAGGTTTGAAGAAAGATGGAAAAGATGAGAGATGAAGCTAGCTATGAACTTCTTCTTCTTCTGGTGATTGTGTTTACTTATAAGCATAAAGAAATGGAGTAGTTGGGCTTATTGGGAAGAAACGTCTGAAGTCTGAATGCATTGAGCAGGTCAAAGGCTTTGTGTGATTCTGCGTAAATAATTATGGTTGAAATGGCGTACTACATAATTATATATGAAGCTTCCTTTGTGAATTTGAAAGGGAATTTATTTATTTTTAAAAAAAAAATTAACGCGTCTGAAATTCGGACTAAATGCCATGTGGCTTCCTGTAAGAATAAAATTGTAGTTTTTTATGTGTACTTTCTCTCAAGCTTTTTTTTTTTGGTTTTGTTTTTACACTGCCATAAGGCTTTTCAACAGTATGATAAAGAAATTAATAATGTGATTTGTAATTTTTTGAAAAAGAATTAGTAGTGCAAAATTTTGGTAGAATTAATTAGTTCTACAACATTAATTTGACAACGGGATGAATTAATTATTTAATATTCAATATATTATATCAATTAATTTAAATCTAAGTGTTATTACACGAAATAAACTATAAATCTCTCAACTGATTTTTGTTCTTAATAAACTATATAAAACACTGTAAAATTTTCCAAAAAAAAAAACAACGATAACCAATCTTAATTCAGTAAGTACCATTATATTTTATGATTAGCTAAATTTTTGGATAAATTATTAATTAAAAAATGTCTGCCTTAATTGAATAATGTTAAAATCTTCAAAGAATTTACAAAATATTAGATGTGGAACAAATTGGGATTTGCACTTGCAGAGTCATTATCAGTGGTGAGTGTAATATTTAAGACTTCCCAATCACATGTACGATAAATTCAACACGAATTGCGTCCTTACGCAGCTGCCTCTCAACGGTCATACCTTCCTTAATACTAATAATAACAACAATAGGATATTAACTGTTTTTATCCTTATATTTTGAATTTTAACTTGATCGTAACTCATTTTTTGAATTTTGACTGGGTGCCACTTGATCTTTCTAGTCTTAACTATTTAAAATATTAGCCTTTACATTTTAGATAACAAAATTATATATTTTATGAAATTTAGGGATCAGTTAAAACTATATGACACTGCAATGAGCAGTTTCAACTGAATCAGAACTATAAATATTAAATTGCGCTGAGTAAAAATTTAAATATTAAGTTATAACTGAATGAAAATTATTAAAAAAAAATTCTCATAATAAAAATATCATCTCTGTTCCTTAATATAAGAGCTAGTTTGACTTTTAATTTGGTCTTAGATATAAAATTCCAATATACTTGATCTTTTATATATATTTATTTTTCTTAAAGTAGTCCTTATAGTAGTTGCTTTCATTACATGGTAATTTTAAACAATGCACATAATTAACAAGAGTATTTTAAAAAAGATAACACATATTTAATTTATTATAAACAACTGACTTAACTAATTTTTTAATATATTCAAATTATTTAACCAATTTTTTTTTTAAGAACGGGAACTATTAGTCCATGTTTGGGTATTATCGCTGATGTTTCTTTCTTTTGACATAGGTGAGGTTCTTGTCCTGTTTCTGCTTCAGCCGCATGCCACGAAAGCTTCAAGTTGTTTCACGTTGCTTTCTAGCCCTTTGATATATTTAGCCAAAATGTTTTAAAACAATTTATCGCATGAGAAAGCGACTCAAAAAAATTTGAAATTACAATTGGACTTATTTTACTTACAGAGAGATCTGAAAAGTTATTCTAGCATGATCATAACACAAACTTCTTAAAATTAAAAAGAAATTTTTACCGTTAACTCGTCATTACTACTATAAAGGGGCCCTTGGCTGTAATTTTTATTGATAATAATTAATATTTAAGTAAAAAAAAGTTTATTAGAAGCTTCTTGCATGACGTGTTCGGTAGTCAGATTAGATCTAATCTTGGCTTTATTTACTTTACGCGTTGCTGTTTTGGAAAGACTAATTCATTTATAATTCTTTAAGAAAACACCACCATCTCAATATTATTTAACTGATCTTGACTTGACCTTAAGCCTCTTTGAAACTTTTTCTTTTTAATTTACAATGAGCATGAGGGGGGAAAAGGAAAAAAAATGTAATTCATTCATCATTCTTTAATTATTTTAGTTAATTTTTTAATTTACCAATGTCCTTTCTTATGTATTCATCACATCATTATAATTTTTATCGTATGGCAATCATATAAGGAAGTAGTGCTTTCTAAGGACTCTTGGTTTTTTTTGCCCGAAATAACAAGGCCATTTTCCTAACTTTGAAAATGCAACGAGACTTTTAAGAATTCCTAAAAGCACTTAAAAAAAAGCTTTTATGTAAGCTGAGATAAAGTTTTCTTACATACTTTCTTCGAATACTGTAAAATTATCTCTAAAATCATTTTAGTTTTAACCTAAATATCCTCTAAGTCATATCTGAAACTATCTCTATATCCACTCATGACATCAGAATTATTATAGTGAAGTTGCTTTCAGTTGCTTCGGAAAACCATTAATAACCTAATTAGTCGTCCAACACCTCTTCTCTGCTCTCTTGCTCTCTCTGGGTTATATACCACCTCTAATCATTAATATAAGACTCAACTGATCAAGTTGAAGAGATTAAGAAAGTTACTAAATTACTTAATTACCGCATATGTAACATAATCTCTTTTAGGCAAATTAATTTGGATAAAACAATAAGTCAAAAATACTTTAAAGTAATTTAGTAACTTCTTTAATATATTTAAATTAATTAAATATGTCTTATATTAAGAACATGAGGTAGTATAATTTTTTTTACCAGTGCCTCTTATAGTTCCACTCTTTGATTTGTTAGAGAAGGATGTATTCCTGAGGTACGTCTGTGCAAGCAAAGATAATTGTCTAAGGAGAGTCACATGACTCCAGTCCATAATATTAATTGGTCACGCTAAGGGTTTTGGATAAATCAAATTCTTCATTGGTCAGGCCAAGAGTTTTGGATAAATTGACAGAGTTATATTATACTTAAGGGTAAAAATAGGCCAAGCAGCCTATCAGGGGCTTCTGGCCTGGCCTGTTTTTGGCCTGATCAGGCCAGGCCTGTTAAAATATAGGCATAGGCTCAGACTTCTTTAAGAGCCTATTTCGCTTAATAGGCCAGGCTCAGGCCTTATAAAAAACCTATAGGCCTGAGCCTGTTATGCCTCTGTAATATTTTGTATTTATGTTTAGATTTGTCAAAAAGAGGCCTTGAGAACCCGCGACCTGGAGGTGAGATGGTGGTCACCTTGCCGCTGCCTCGCCGCTTGTTTTTGTTAAGCGTCGTGCAAGATTTATGATTTTAAACCCAAAGTTCGCCAAAAAAAAACCTCAATGCATTTACTCTGCCCTAGTCTGTTAGGTTTTTCTTATCTATCTTTTAACTCCTTGGCTCATTCTAGCCGCCACCCGAGCAGTTGAGCTCTCCATCTCTAGTCTCGACTTTGTTCTCCATTCTCCAAGTCTCACCAGCGTCATTCACAATCTCTAGTTCCGACTCACACGGTCAGACCTCACAAGCCATAGCATTGCCGTCGTTCACTCTCCAGCTCCGAGCTCCCACGGTCGGCCATTCGCACACTATCCCAATTTCTAGACCTAATCTCTCCTCCTCTTCACTCCTCATTTAGCTCGTACGTCGTCAATGGGTAAGCTTTTTGTTACAAACTAAACTTTGATAACTAGAACACTACTTTCTCTCGTCCATCGTATTCTAATAAATAAAAGCAATTGACTGGTGACATGATTTCATTATTCATGGCAGAAATCTGAAATCTGAATGTGATTATATATATATTCATGGAAGAAATCTAACATGAATACACACACACAAGGTCCCCTGTGTATATTCCCCCATATATATATATATATATAGTCTTGGGAGAAATCTGAAGTCACCGCCATGAATATATGTATAATATATATGGAGAGTAACAGATTTTATCAAAATTTTAATCATACAGTGCTGTGCTTATGTTTTATAATTTTTCATTGTTTTTCTTCTTGTTTTTTTTTAGGCGTGCCTTGTTTATAGATTCTACAGTAGCCTGTATTGTGCCACTGGATCAAGATTTTATCAGAATTTTTCTACAGAAAATTAGGAATTTTAGTGTTGTGGATATTTTGTTAACTTTTGATTTATCAGGTTTCTTACTCATTTTCCTAGATGGTGGAAGCATGTTTTTAGTCATTCAACTGATATATGCTAAATTGCTAATATGTGCTTTATGATTCATTGCTAGTTTATGAATCATTGTCAATATATTATACACTTCATTTCTTCTTTTCAAGGTGTTCAAACAAGAAGCAACTACGCTGATCAGGAAAAAAAAAACAAGAAGAAACTGGACGGACGGCTATACTTTTATTTGGTCAAATTATTGTAATTGTGATGAACCTTGTTCCCTTGTTTCATTTGGTATTATATTGTTGATTAATTAGATTATATTAGATTTTGTGTTGTATTTTAGATAATTTTGAATTTATTTATGTGTATATAGCTTATTTTTAGCCTGTTAATAGTTTTTGAAAAACATGTAGGCTTTTTAACAGGCTTCAGGCTAGGCCAGGCCTTTATATAGGCCAAGCTTAGGCTGAAAAGAAAGCCTTTAACAGGCCACAGGCCAGGCTCAGGCTGGTTTGTTACAAGACAGGCTTAGCCTGTTAAGAGGAAAGCCTGGCCTGGCCTAGCCTGTTCTCACCCCTAATTATACTAGCTACTTCACTCAGGCTGACTAATTTGAAAAATTAAGGAAACTGAAAAAAAATACTTAATTATAAAGTACTACCTCTGGTCATTAACAAAAGAATTATATAACTCATTTAAAGATATTAATAAAATTAGCTAAACTGGTTATTTCTTTTGATCTCTCTAAATTATCTTCTTTAATCATATGCATTAGATGATTTGAATTATCCCTTAGTAGAATCCCCTTACACATAGGGA